TAGTACCTAATCAGACTTGCGGTTTCAACAAGAAGTTGAAAATATAACTTTTTACCAAAAATGAAAAAAATATTCATCAAAATTAGAGATATCATCACAAAATGAACAATTCTGAGAGCGGTCCACATGTAGTACTTATATATATAATATCGAAGCAATCAGACTTGCGGTTTTAAACAAGAAGTCGAAAATATCACTTTTTACGAAAAATTAAAAAAAAATCATCAAAATTAGAGAATCAAAGATCATTACAAAATGAACGAATCTGAGAGAGGTCTACCTATAGTAAAAGTACCTATATATGTAATACCACAGCAATCAGACTCGCGGTTTTCAACAAGAAGTCGAAAATATTACTTTTACCAAAAATGACAAAAATATTCATCAAAATTAGAGATATCATCACAAAATGAACAATTCTGAGAGCGGTCCACATGTAGTACTTATATATATAATATTGAAGCAATCAGACTTGGGGTTTTTAACAAGAAGTCGAAAATATCACTTTTTACGAAAAATTAAAAAAAAAATTATCAAAATTAGAGAATCAAAGATCATTACAAAATGAACGAATCTGAAAGAGGTCTGTCTACCTATAGTAAAAGTACCTATATATGTAATACCAAAGCAATCAGACTTGCGGTTTTCAACAAGAAGTCGAAAATATTACTTTAACAAAAAATGACAAAAATATTCATCAAAATTAAAGAATTAAAGATATCATCACGAAATGAACAAGTATCAAAGCAATAAGAATGTAGTTTTCAAGAAAAAGTTGAAAATGTAAAAAGTTGACCCGGACGACGACGGACAATCACTCATATGATAGTGATAAGGCTAGTGATCTGAAGGTGGAGACATGTTTAAGACTCGGAAGGCAGATACATCATTGTAGAATTGTGCAGTGGGGATTACATTTTCGTTATTGCAAATATTTATATGCCCTAAATGCTATAAGAGAACGAACAGGTAGTGTTTTTCACTGAAAATTAATTAATTAATTCTAACTTCCCTTACTCAAACTGTATTATTGCTGGAGACTTTAACGTACCCTTAAACCCGATTATTGATAAACGTGGGAGTAGATTTGATAATAAAGGGCCTGCTAGAAGAACAATTCATAACTTGATGGATGCTTTGAAATTAGTTGACCTATATAGAAAATTAAACCCATCAAATTTTCGATTCACTTGGAGGCGCGGAAATTCAGGTTCCAGATTAGATTATTTTGTGGTCCCAGAACGTTTACCCAACACGGTCAAAAACTGTAACATCGCACCATGCATTCGCACTGATCATAGCATGATCACCGTGAGTTTTGAAAAAAACGATTCTGGAAGAGAACCGGGGTTTTGGAAGTTAAATAAGTCTCCTAATCGATGAAGCTTATGTGAAAGAAATAAATGCTTTGATTTTGGAGAGAAAATGTTTTCTTTTAAAACACAATGCTCAACAGACTTTTGAATATCTGAATATCTGAATTATTTACAGCAAAAACAAGCAAAGGAATTTGTGTATCATAGAGAATAGTCTGAACAAAGTAATTACAACAATTCGGAAGAACACATCGATGACACACTCGATAATGACATTTTAATAGAATATGAAAAGTTTAAAAACAAACACGGGGATCTATTATTCGATTACGAGTAAATTGGTACCATTATGGGGAAAAGAACAACAAATATTTCCTTAGTTTAGAAACAATTATAAAAAGAAATCCATTGACAAACTCAAACAGGGGGACTCGGATATCACAGATTCGGAAAAGATTTTAAAAGTGTTAAAAGAATTCTATGAAGCCCTGTACTCCAAACCAAACCCTGAAAATAATTTAAACTGCCAAGTTTTTGAAACATCCGATATTCCAGCTCTAGATCAAGAACAATCACGTATATGCGAAGAGATTACTGAAGATGGGCTACTTAAAGCACTTAAGAATAGTCCAAAAAATAAAACTCCTGGTTGTGATGACATCTCGCCTAAATTTTATTCGAGATTTTGGGGAAATATTAGCGATTGTTTACTGGCATCCCTAAATTATGCATATGACAATGTATCTCTCTCTGTAACCCCGAAACAAGCTGTGATTACTTTATTACCAAAACCTGAGAAAGATGTACTACATATCAAGTATTGGAGACCTATTTCATTTCTAAATACAGATTATAAGTTAGCAAGCCGTTGTATAACTGCTAGATTGAAAACAGTGTTACCATTTATTATCCACGAAGATCAGTCTGCCTTCATTAAGGGCAAGCGTATCACAAATAACATTCATTTGATAATTGAATGGTGTGAAGTAACTGGAAACCAGGCAGCACTGTTATTCTTAGACTATGCAAAAGCCTTTGATTCTTTAGAGTGATCATTTATGTACAAAGCCTTAGAACTATTTAACTTCGGGCCTTCACTAATCAAATGGGTAAAAACATTTTATACAAATATTCAAAGTTGCGTTATGAATAACGGTAACGGTACTGGGTGGTTTGCGTTACACAGATGGTCCGACAAAGATGTCCCTTATCTATTGCGCTCTTTGTTATTTCGATAGAAGTACTCACCATTCATATAAGAAAAAACAAACAGATTAAAGGTATTAGATTCCAGGCACGAACAAAAATTTTCTGCATATGCAGATGACACAACACTGATGCTCAAAGACAGCTCAGCTCGTCTATTCAAATTTTCTTAATGATGTTATCGGATTTCAGTAAACTGACTGGTTTGACCCTTAATTTAGAGAAGACAGAACTAATTCTAATTGGTAATCAGAACGGGGAGTGGGTGCTTCCACAAGGCTTATCCCCAACATTGACCCCAGTTTGGGTACTTTGTGTGTATTTAGGTCATGACAAAAGTGAAAATAAAAAACTGAACTTTTGGGGTAAACTTCAAAAAATGAAAGATAAACTTTATATTCGGAAATCGCAAGATTTAACTATTCAAGCTAAAGCATTGCTAGAAAAATGCTTTGGAGCCTCGCAGATAATCTATACTATGAACAATATGTCAGTACCAGTTGATGGCATTAGGAAAGCAACTGACTATCTATTCAATTTCCTGTGGTGAGGGAAAAGCATCATATTAAAAATAACACCATACTTGGAGATTGTTCACAAGGTGGTGTGAACAGTGTAGATCTCGAACTGATGAATAAAGCTTTAAATTATCGTGGATAAATAGAATATTAAAATCACGAGCACCATAGTCTCATTTCCCAAATTAATATTTCAATAAATTAGGAGGACTGAATTTTCTCATCATCTGTAATTATTTAATCGCTTCGCTGCCAGTCAATATATCTACCCTAACGACACTTTTTGTTACTGGATTGATCCGACAATCTCAAATGCGTGCAGAACCTAATTCAGGTGCGCACATTATTTGGAACATTAAAGATGTACTTACTGAAAATCTGTGTTTTATCGCAACTGGTTAAACCACGGGGTGAAGTACATATGTGATCTAACCAATGATATGGGGGAGATTTTGTCACATATTCAGTTCCAAAATAAATTTAATATCAAGGTGGATTGTATTGCATATTGCGGTTTAATAAATGTCATCTCTAGAAAATAGAAATTGGAACTAAACCAAAATAAGTTACCCATGCATACAAGACCTGGTGGTGAAAATTACAAACAATGTGCAAATTTCAAATGTCGCGACTACTACACTGTTTTGAAACGTTCTAAATTCGAGGAAGCCACTTCTGTAAGCACGTTTGTCAAGAATGGATATGCAGATAATGTTGACTGGAAAGAAGCATGGCAAAAAATCAAACAGATAACATTCCAAGAAAAAATGACGGGAATTTCAATAAAAAATACTACATCGCATACTTGCCACAAATGCTTTTCTACACCGAAACAAGAAAATTAGTCATGACAAATGTAATAACTGTAACCAAAATGAAGATTTGGAACACATGTTGTGGGAATGTGAGGAGAGTCAGAAGTTCTGGCGTAGCTTTAAACAAATCTGGACAAATATCGCTTTCGAAAACATCAGCATTAATAGGAAGGATGTGATATTTAATTTTGGAGTCAAAGTAAATTGTCAAGCAATTCTAAACCAAGCTTTAAATTATTCATTGAAAAAATGAAACAAACTATTCATCTAGAAGAGAATATTGCTAAACAAAACAATAAATGGGGGAAACGGGGAAAAATTATAAAATACTGAAACTCTATAATTTGTTAATGTATTCTTTTCCTTTATCAAAATATTGTGCGATTTCTTGCCTTGTCTGTGTCTGTCTCTGTCTCGTGTTCTAGTGTGTGGGTATAAAAACCCATAAATTAGTGATTATTGCGATGACTTCATTTGTATAGTGACTTTTTTGAATGATAATTATACTTGTTGTATATCAGCATTATTTTCCAATATCAATAATTATAATATAAACTTTTACAAATGATTTGCAAAAAAAATAATAATTGATATACCACGTGATTGTACATTTATTTACCGCATAAACCAAACAATAATTGATATACTACGTGATGAAGTTATTTTACTTTTATATACTGCATATATATTTGATATACCAAAAAAACCCACGAGAAACCAGTTAAAAGCTTCAGTCTGCTGCAATGACTAACTGAACTCAATGAACGGAGATATTCCGATCCAGAAAATAGCAGCAGAGTAAATTGATAATAAGATGGAAAGTACTGCTGGAATGACTCACTCACTCTTATTGAGGTAGATATCCAGAAAACATTCGCATTCATTATAGTTCTACATATTTATTATAAAATATAACGTGACAGAACTATACAAATGCGAGATGATAAAATAATAGATATAAAAGTATGAATATTACATATTAATCGATGGCAGATGAGTGATAAAGATTCACAACTTGCATAATCATATACTAGATGACAGGCGATACAGTTCATATTTTACGAACGGCGTGGAATTCATTTGTAAGTTCCACGCATGCGCCAATCAATCTTGCTCCCACTGGAAATTGAAATTGGTAAATATAAGCCTAGGTTATCGGATGTACAGGCAAATTCGTAGTACATACAGTATAATACAAGGCCATTGGAAAAATAATTATTTGAAACGTACTTTAAATATTTCTGTCAGGGAAATTCTCTGTTCTGTCTATTCCTCCTTCTCATGGGGGGGGGGGTCAAAATGCTTTATAGACATGGAAGGAGGTGATAAAAAATTTCTCTTCCGTGTACAGGTGTATTGCATCTTAGAACGGCATGCACATGTGTAAGTGATTGGTGATATCGTAATCGCAAATTATGCTGGCTGCAAACCCCTAGCCATCATCAGCCCTTGGTAGGTTATATATGTAACTATCAAGTACCAGGGCGGAAATATATACTGATGCTCCTGGTAACTCTCTACGTCATTTCCGACGAGGCTGTTGATTGGATCATGGACGCAAGTCGCACGTGCACCCACAAACTGTAATGGAAAATAATATATAGATTAGTTCCAATTAACAATTATGCTTGTAGTTCTTGTTCATGGTCATATCAAACGCCAAAACTAGGTTGTGCTTTCAACGATATTTGTAAGTGGTACTTGCCAGTACAGTGCGTACGTCGAGTATCGCCTTGGTACTATACCGGGTTGTAAGTAGAGATGGTCTGGTAATTATATCTACGAGTTCAGTTGACTGTGTCATTAACATACTGAGCACATGAAACAGAGTTTAAGCAGTGCAATTGTTTATTACTTACTGTTAAATTCACAGATATATCCTTTCTTTCTGAGGTTGGCATCGTCACTGCAGTAGTCATCGTCCCACTTAAAGCTTGACGCTTTCCTAAAACGACAAAACAAATCCCAATGAACCCAACAACGCTTTCAAGAAAATGTCAGTTTGAAAAATCAAGTAGATGTTGAACACTTTGTTTGCAATTATCAACTGTTGTCTAATTCTGACCAAACGTCGATTTCAAAATTGCCGACAATTAGATGAGTAATTCTTATCTCCAAATTAAGCCATGTTTACGAACAATTGGATGCATTTGAAGTCATGAACGTCGTGAAGAATTCGCTCAACAGTTTGGTTATAAGGATGTAGCGATCTAGCAAGTTTGGCAGTTGTATAAATATACTGTAAAATACTTTATTTTAGCTGGAATTCATTTTTGCTGAATCATTCTTCAGCGAAAATAAATTCCAAGCAAAAATAAAGTATTCTACAGTATAATTCGTTGTTATGAAGACAATACAAACCATAGTTGTACACAGTCCTGTCCATTGACGTCTTTCTTATCATTGTTATTAGGATTGTCATCAGCCCAGTATGTGAATCCAGTATCAGCCAGTTTTGTCTGGTCCATCCACTCAAAGTCTCCCTCCTGGTTACGATCGTGCAACCCGAACCAGAAGCCCTTGGTGACTTCAGCATCCAGATTGTTACTGTATATGTATTGACGAACTTGCTTGTTTATCTTCTGTGTTTTTAACATGGCCAACACGCCACCGAGGTTCTCGCACGTTTCCTTGGCTTCTAGCCAAGTGATTTCGCCAGTCTCTGATCGGGCGGTGAAGATCTGGTAGCGACTGCAGTCGATACACTTGGAGTTTATCACTGTGAAAAAAAAAGTATAAGACCTATTGACACAAATTGTATGAATTTCATTACACGTCGAGCGATGTTAGACTCCTCAGCCAGTAGTTAATATCGACATTTTAGGGCGTTTTGGGGGCTTGAAAATGGGCGTTTTTCACACAAAAATGGCTGAAAATCTATAAAATGGGAATCAAAACTGCGGCACATACTCCATTTATGGGAGTGTCCCTCTCTTCGAGATGTTAGCTTACAAGATTTAGTAATTCGTTGGTCAACGTATTGTCTGAAGCAATAGCGACAGTTACTAATATTTAGATACTGTTTTTTTTCAAACGTGATAAAACGTCACCAAAACGTTTCAATTCCAATCAAAGCATGAATAGGAAGCGAGTAGTACACTTTTCCGTGAACGTCTACACAACTGAAGTTGTCGTTTTTTTCTAAAACGTATGTTGATTTGTCGTTTTTAAATGTTATTCACCGACCACAAATACCAATATTTGACACATAATTGTGACACAGATCGTATTTGTTCACATACAGTCTGGAGGTCCCCAGAACCTTTCTTCTGAAACGAATATCAGTGTTCTGTATCGCTGTTCTGTATCTCCGGAATAGCCCCCCCCCCCCTCGTGTAAAATCATCCTACTTGACCAGGGAATTATGGCGGACCACGCTGAGCTGTGGGTCCAAATCGTGGTTTCTTTACGGGTCCAAATCTTCTAAGAAATATGTTTGTTGTTTTTATTCCTGATTTTGGACAAATTTTAACATACCGTTACATTGGAAGTCACATGACCGACCATCCTCGTTCAAGGTATAACCTTCATCGCACTCACAGTGATAAGAACCGTCGGTGTTTTCACAGTCGTGTTCACAGCCTCCGTCATTTGCAGTATCGCATTCGTCAATATCTGTGAGAATTAAGCATATATATGACATTTGTAGTGTTGTATTCGCCATTATCTGTGAGAATACAACGTCGGGGATGTTTTAGAATACAAGTATGTCGACTTTGATGTGGCGATACTGTGTCTTATGTCAAAATCTGCTTCATAAAAATAATTATATATAATAATAATTGTGATTTATTACACCAAGTAGTTTTTGAATTGCAAGTTTGATGGTACTCAATATTACGCTGACGTTGATGGCGCAGTCTGGCGCACATTTCGACAGTCTTATTTTACATATCAAAAACTTTAACTCGTTTCTCTTTTATCCACAGAGATCACTAATGCAATATTCAGATAAACATATATTCGTCATCGACACGAAAACAATTGATAGTTTCGTAATTGTAAGATCCAGTATCGCGATTCACTACTATGAAGTTGATATTGATAACCACTGACTTCAGCCGGATTCTTACCTTCACACTCGCCATCGTCAAGTTCATAGCCAGGGGGACAGCTACAAGTGTCTGGTGCCACACATACGGAACCGTCCTCGCAATGTGGGTTACACAGAGCTAGAAACAAAGTTGTGAGCAGTTATTATTAGTAACAGAGAATGGTTACATCACGTGACCCATTGAATATATATGCACTACGTCACTTTAGAGCAACGCAACTTCGTGGCTGACTACCGGTTATATATACCGGTCTAGAAACAAAACTAAAATTTTCCAATACATGTCACGTAATAATTAACTGTTGCGCGGCAACAACATGAAGCATTGTCGGGCCAATCAACAGAAGTGCGCGCAGGACAGGCCCGTAGTTTGGGGGGTTCGGGGGGTTCGGACGAACCCCCTAAATTTTGGAGGTGAATAGATTTATGATCGTAGATTAGAACATAATAAAACAAACAGTATTAATTAAAATATTTATCATCGTTTGAATCACTTGACTCCGTGATGTAACTATCAGACTCAGCCAAAATTGTATAGTGATCACGGAATTTAAATGTCAATGGTGAACTTACGCCGTTTCAGCTCAACAACAGCAAATAAAAAAAGTTGTTTTAAATGGGCAAGCTTTTATTCGGTGATTCCGCTATGGTGTAATGAAGATCACGTTCAAGCAGCTAATGTTAAATATTAAAACAGCATTGAAACAATAATGTAATGGTAGTCACTCTTTGAAGGATGTGGTGGTCCTGAATAGGGCCGTTTGTTTTATGCTAGTGTTCGCTCAATTACTAAAGCGTGGGGATCAAACGGAATTGACACGACAACACGACACAGTACTTTCCTAATTTGGTTCATTAGTTTTGTATTCTGCAAGTTAATGATGGCATATATACTGTTTTGTTATGTGTATCAGCCAAATGTAGTCAACTTATTGTATTAGTACGTGTAGCCTGTGTTATTAGTCCCCGTTCGGACGAAGTCCGAAAACGGGGACTTATGTTTGACCTCCGTGTGTCCGTGCGTGCGTGCGTGCGTCTGTGCGTGCGTCCGGACCCGTATCTTAGAAATGCCTGGACTAATCACAATCAACCTTCACACATACATCATACATGATATCATACATATGCACGTCAATTTGTTTCACGATCTGATTCAAGATGTCCGAATGGCGGCCATTTTTGTACTAAAAATCATCAAAATCAAGCATTTCCCGGCTGTTTACAGATGGATTTTCTTCAAACTTGATATATACATTAGACATTATGCGACCTTGATGCAAATAATTTTGTTTTTCAGATCAGACTCAAAATGGCTGTCCGATGGCCATTTTATTTTAATGACTTAATGTCTGACTTGTTTTGACTGATTATGTTCAAGTTTTTAATATTCATTATACATCATGTCACAGATATACGGATATATTGGTTTGACGATCCTTTTCAAAGTGGCCGACTGGCGGCCATTTTGTTTTAATGAATGGGCTTCTAGACCCATATTTCCAACTTGTTTTGACTGATTATGTTCAAATTTTAAATATTCATTATACGTCATTTCATAGATAGATATTGGTTTGACGATCCTATTCAAAATGCCGAATGGTTGTCATTTTTGTGCTAAAAAAATCATCAAATATCAAGCATTTCTGGCATTTATGGGATGGATTTCGTTCAAACTTGGTACATACATTAGACATTACAGGTTCCTGATGCACGTCATTTTATTTTTCAGATCAGACTCAAAATGGCTGTCCGGTGGCCATTTTATTTTAATGACTTAATGTCTGACTTGTTTTGACTGATTATGTTCAAGTTTTTAATATTCATTATACATCATGTCATAGATATACGGATATATTGGTTTGACGATCCTTTTCAAAGTGGCCTAATGGTGGCTATTTTTGTGCTAAAAAACTTGTTTTTATACATCATTGTATAATTGTATCATTGTATGTTCAAATTTCATATATTCATTATACATAAAATAATAATGGCTGATTTTGTTTTAATTAATGCTGTTCCAGAGCAATATCTCTCGTTTGACGATCAGATACAAATGTCAATCATTTAAATGTTAAACAATCATCATATTCCTGACATGTTTATATTCCAGCTATATTACTATAAACAAAACTTTATGTCTTAAAGTTGATAACTAACGGGGACTGTGCCATGGCTTGTTGGACAATAGTGTACAGCTACGGGTTAAACAGATCAATAAAAAAATGATTTGAGAAAGATTTATTATCACGAGTTGTATAGGTCGTAGAGCTTCTGGCAGCCAACAATTTACCCCACAGTGTTGCTTCAGCATGGAAACTGTGCGATGAATCATATTTTTCAAACAGATTTTTATACATTTTTTGACTCCCATGTGCGAAGCACAAAATGGGAGTCTTTGCAGTTAGTGTGTCTGTATGTGTGTA